CATATTTATGCACATATTTACATTTATAAATGCAGACATATTTATGCGTTTGTCTTCTTGGACGAATGAAAAATTTCATATATGTAGTGATTTAGAGATTGCCGTTTCAGTAATGTGCCGTGGCGTGTACGCTAGAGGCGATGCAACTTTTTGGCGTCTCGCCGTTTGTCTTGGTTCAAATCCCGGACGGACCAAGTAATAAATTAAATTTTATTTTTTTTATCATATCCATATTGGATTTTAAAATTTACTATTAGCTTTGTTTAAAATAATATAAATGGATATGTAGGTACAAACGCATGCATAATTTCACATAATCGCTCAAATTTGCCAAAAGTTACTGAAAGCTTTATTGTAAATGTTTTCACTAAAATATTAGTTATTGGAATTAAAATTTTATGCGAATCCAATTTTTATTCCCATTTTTAGAAAGCGCAAGTATGTATATGTTCATGCCACAAAAATTATTTCATAAGTAGGTAATTTTAAACACACATACATATGTATGTATGAACACTGGCAATCAAAAGTGAGTGCATCCTGTTTTTTGTTTAATAATTGCAATGTCTTTTAAGTTAAATTTTTTTTGTTATTTTCGACGGGTTTTGTGGATTTATGCATATAACAAGTGCAATATAAAAAACAGCGCTAATTTTTTTTAAATTTGTTTGCAAACGGTCATGCGCATTTTATTCTACAAGAAATTCCCTTTTATTTGGTAAAAAGTTCAAAAAGCCCTCAGCAATAAATAATCATTAAAAATCAACCGGATTTTTTAGCCGCTTAAAACTTGATCTTGTTCCACTAGAATTAAAAAACCGATCTATCTGCGTACTCAAAATTTTTCTAAAAATTCAGATTAAACAGGTCAAAATTTAGACGAGAATTCATTGAATTTTTCTATGCTCTGTGTAAAGTTTGAAAGTTTGACTTATGTAGTTTTAATTAAAGCATGAACCACATTTTTATAAAAAGATAATAAAAAAAATTTTATTGAAAATTGCTAATATTAAGCAAAAAACAGCATGCACTCACTTTTGATTGCCAGTCTATGTATGTGTGTAAACTTTATGCCAAACTATCATTATTTTAAATTGTATTTGCATCTTCATAAAAGGAGAACAAGATAAAAAATTTAACAAAAATTACAAATTAATAAATATTATGTGAAGATTTACCATATTTTCGTTTATTTGCTCGCAAAGAACATCACATTTCATGTTGCTCAACATTGTATTATGTTATCAACATTAAATTCAACAGAATTTTTACATTCCGACTTGAACTTTTCTAACGCTGTTAATTTTTCGTCCGCGAATAGTTTCCACTTTCAGTTTGCACCTTCTCTATCTATCTAAGTTCTCTGGCAGAAGCAACTGACGAACTGCGAAAGCCGATCAATTTCTTCTGCTTCTGCTTCCGTACTTTTCAATAAGCAAGCATCAGCAAAATGCCTTTGCTGATAAGCATCGCATTCGTGCCGGAGAGCAAACAATCGTTTACTTGTCAGCTCTTCTCGTACTGCTGCTGTGGCTGTTCGTTTTTTTTCGAAGCAAAAGCATGAATATTGCTTTTGCAGCAAGACAACTTCAGAAGCATAGCATCAGCATATTTTCGTTGCTTTTGCTAATACTGCTTAAGCATTTCAAACCCTGGCTAATACTAAAAATTTAGATGAGCTTTTGTTTTTATACAAAAAAAAAAAATAGTACATATTTAAAACTATTTTGATAAGAGAGAAGCAAACAAAGATATATTTGGAAACCGATAGAAAAAATATGTACATACATATATACAATAAAAGTTGGCTCATTATTTCCAGGCTGGGGCGTGTCCCGTCGTGCCGGGCCAGGCCGGGCCGGGCCCCACTAAAATTCTTAACGTGCGGGCTCGTGCGTGTTTTTGAAAAATGATTTTGCACTCGTGCCGGGCCGGGCCTGAAAATTTAGGCCCGTGCCCATCTCTAATCAGAAGCACTTATCTTCGGTTTAGAAAACGGTAATAGTCCTGGCTAGACACATTGTAAAATAATCAGATGACAAGAGGAACACTAAAAAATTTTAAAATACTTACATATACTTATGTATATGTTCACTAAAATTTAATTAACCTAAACATAAAGTCTTTGGGAAGTGGTCATCGCATTTAGTGTAAAATTTAAACATTTTTAAGATAAGATTTGAATTACTTTTAAACGATAAATGTTATTTAAACTATTTTATACATAATCCCAAATTTGTGATATAAAATCCCCTCTACCAAAAAACTTAAATTGGGTAACGCCGCTTCGAATTTTTAACAATTGAGCAATTGTCAAAAATCTGCTTTTTAGGGCGTGTGTGAATCTGTAACAAAGTTCTATGGGGTAAGCTGTTGAATAATACTTTTACTATGGTGAGACAGTTTTGCCAATCTGCTGTGTGAAATTAAATATTTTTTGACAGCAGTAAATTTTTGATAACCGCAGATGTATGCGGAATAAAATATTACAAATTGAAGTGAAATTAATATTTTTAGAAAACATCTACCATCGTTGATTGCAATTCATCAATTTAAGCTTTTATTTAACGAAAAATTACACACATCAACAATCTTTGCGATCGTTAAAATTGCCTATGCATTTGGCAAAAATTTCACTAGCCTCATGAGCTACTGAAATTTTATTCACCTCATAGTTGTCAAAAATTTACTCGCCGCGAACTTTGTTGCCGATTCACACACGCTCATAATTAAAAAGTTGTTTATTGAAACTACCTTCTTTTTTGTATCATGTGAATACCTAAAATGATTTGACACTCGTATGAAAATGAACAATGCAAGTGAACACCAAGAATAAAATGTCAAGCATGATACAAAAAAGAAGGTAGTTTCAATAAACAACTTTTGACGGATAATAAAATTTTTTGAAGTTTCATAAATTGTGAGTATTATCAAACGCCTTGCCAATTTGATAATATTAAAACAATAAATCAGAGTATTTTACTTCCCACATTTATACCAATGTAATAATATTTCACTCGCACTATTTTTATTAAAAATATATAAAATATAGTTAAAGAAGACTTCATCCTAATTAGTATTTTTATTTTATAACAAAAATCACGCTCGCATTATGCTTTTATTGTTTCGTTTTCTTATTTTGAATGCAATCTTGCGATTTAAACATCTAATTCTAAAGAATGTTCTTCCCAAATAAAACCTTTTCATATTTTGAATCAAATTTACATTTAAATTTATCATCAGATTTTGCAAAAAATTTGGCTTTTTGATAAGTGAATCACCATTAATTTCACAAATCTTGATTTCATATATATCGACCCATTTGCGCAAGATTATCGTATGTTACATTTTTTACGAAATTCACTTTTTGATACTACTTGGTTTTACAACCCATAACGCATCACCTGTTAAAATATTACGGCTTAAATCCCAATAGCTACCCCAAAAATTGACTGTAAATTTTATTGTTTGTGACAACGATTTTTTTCTTGTGGGCGAAATTATCATATGTGCTAAGAAATTAGAATGTAGTGACCTTACTACTAAAAAAATCTTATTTTAAGCTATATTTCTGAGTTATCTCAGCAAATTTAAACTTTGGTATTGATGGTGCTAGCCAAAGCAGAGAAAAATACAAAAAACACTTTCCTGTAAAATTTGGTTTTTGTAACATACAATAATTTTTCGCAAAGGGGTCGATATCGTCGTATAAAGTACAAAACCGCGTATCAACAAAACGCAAAACTGCGTATGTGAGGTTGCATAAATTATTTCTGAGAGTAAAAACACTCATATTTCAAAATCGTTCACTTTTTTACAAAGCAATCGAATAGTATAAGTATTATAAGGCGTGAGCCAAGAGCTTGTGTGAGCAAATCCATTTTTTGGCAAAACATGTCAGTTACGCGGTTTTGCAGAACGACGATACGCGGTTTTGTACTTTAAACGACGATATGTATGTATAATATAATATATATCGTCGTTTAAAGTGCAAAACCGCCTATCGTCGTTTTGCAAAACCGCGTAACTGACATTTGTGCCAAAAATTAGATTTGCTCTTCGGAAGCTCCAGGCATAAAGCCTTATCTATTCATACCAATATATCGATATTAGACCATGTACTGCAAAATAACAGCATAGTTTCAATACCGCTGATTAAGAGTAGCATATATTTTTAATCTCTCCTGTAAAATCTTTGTGATATTACATACGTGGTTTTGCATAATCGTGATACGCGGTTTAGTACTTTAAACGACGATATAATGATAATGTATATAATGATCACTTTCTTCATGCGTTCTGAAACCTAGTCGTCAACCTCATTTTAGAAATTATGTAGCCGGCATAATTTTCAAGTGCATCATATTCCACATCTTTGAATGTACTGATAAAATCTTCTGCTTAAAAAAAATATTTCTTCTAGTGATCAGGTAGCATGAGTTTGATGAAATGTCACAATTTTATTAAAAGTCAAATGGTTAACAACAACAGCGAATGTCATTAAATGGAACTACCTTCTTTTTTGTATCATGAGTCAAAGTATAAAAAATAGACATAGATGTGATATTATATCAAAAGTAGTGATGACAATACTTTCAAGCTATAATTCCGGCACCGGTAGAGGTATCTAAACAAAACTTTGTTTCAAATCTGCCAATTCTTCTTGGGCCAGGTTTCATAGGAGATATGAATTTTTTCAGCTCTTATCCACTGTGCATCGTTATAAATAAAGACACATATAATGCAATTAAATTTGTCAGAAATAAGTAAGTTTATATTGATGTGAATTACTACTGTTTGGACATAGATTGGTAGGGATCCCATTTATAATAATATTAATGAGAAATTGAATGGTATGGTTTAAAGAATGCAAAGAATAAGTGGTTATATTTGTAGGAGACATTTTAAATAATTTGTTTTTATTTGCGGGGAATTCATGTATCTTGTGTTCCAATCGTGTTCGTTGATGTGTAACACTTTGTAACCCATCATTTCCAAATGTTTGGTTCTGAGGTGTTCAGCCCCGCGCATCGCAGTTAGATCGTTTTCACAGTAAGAATCAAGCCGCAGCAGCAATATTGCAACTCTGAAATTTAATAATGTATAAATTAAATATATATATACATATATGTAGAAGTAGTTAATATAGGTGGAAAAATGATTTTAATTAAATTTTATTGTTTTTCTTTTTGTATATAAATTGAAATTTTAAGGTTTAAGCAAATATGTATAAGTTTTCCGGTATCCTCAGAAAATCTCTAGGCTGTGTGCGAGTACGTCTAAATTGCTACCTAAATAGAGAAAAATTCTAAATCACTGGAAAATGTTGGTAATGCAGTGAACACGAACAATTTAGATTTTTTCCGGGCATACTTTTGAACCTAAATTGAACTGTGAAATATAAAAGGGCGCGCGATTAAGCGAACAATTATTTGTTCAGAAGTTTTAAGAAATTTGAATCTAAAAGTAGAATTTTCAATATTTTCAAAAACTTATTTTTCGAAAATTATTGAGCCAATTTTCAAAACGTGTATATGGTTGGAAAGGTAATTGAAATACCTTCCATTAAGTATGTATACATATCTATATATATATAAAATATACACATTTCGAGAAAAACGAGATTATGTCCCTTTTTAAATCAAAACGTATGTTCTTAAAATAATACGTAATCAATTATAATATATGTATATCAGAACAAAACAATATTTAAAAACAAAGTGAAAATTCGGAAAAATTGTATCTTTTAATATAGTTAATTACGTATTTTTTTAAGAAAAATATAAATTTTTATTAAAACAATTACTATAATTTCGTTTTTTTCGTACATTATATATATAGGTATATATATCAAATGAAAGGTATTACAATTACCTTTCCAACGTTTTGAAAATCGGTTCAATAATTTTCGAAATATAAGATTTTGAAAATAGTGAAAATTGTACTTTTACCACCCCAAGTATCGCACCTAATTAATTTGCACCAAATAACTTTTATACCGTTAAAATCAATGGAAGAAGGCCAAGTCTACTTTTTCTTTTTTTCTGGCTGAACGGGCCCTATTTTTCACTTATACCTACGGTGACCATCCGCCCTGTATTATACGGTACAGTCCTCTGTTTTCGTCAGTTGTCCTGGTAATTTAATTATTTTATACGGGACGCCAAATGTTCTGTATTTCTTTTAATGTCCCTTATTTGTCCCGTATTCGGTATTTTGGCGCCTTAACAGCTCATAAAAATTACATGCATAAGAACCAGATTTTATTAAAAAAAAGGACGCTTGTGATCGAATCGAGGAGCACATATGTATGTAGATGTTTTCTGAAGTTATAATTTTGCGTAGAAAAACTGGGTATTTGTGGGTATGAATAGAAATTAGACATTAATGATTGTTGTTAAAATTTCTAAAAGAAAGGCTGACTTCCAAAACGTATCAATACAATGTTTGGAAACTGTTATACTGCGGTATTCAAACTGTTTGTATATGCAGAGTTGCGACACATTGCAACCATATACATTGCATATTTTAAATATTCAATATAGCAATGAACAATTTTTCTGAATTTTCCATATTTAAAACACCAATGCTAACCAATAACAAACGAAGCATCAACTTTGTTTCTGATGCGCTGATTGCTCAAGAGATACGTTTCGATAACTAATCGGCTGCGTTTTGGAACAGTATACATTGTCAATATTTTGTAGTTCGACGTTAAGGAACCTTATACTTTGTACGTATACAAAGCAATTGACGTTTTGGAAGTCAGCCAAATTTCACTAATATTTAGCTTTTCAAAGGTTTTTTCAACGCATTTCACGTTGAATATTCTGTGTGGAGCAAAGCATATTGAATAGGTAGCAGCAGTAGAGCAGCTGATTTTACTTTTTTACTCTAAACTTTCAAACTTTGTTTACGTATATGGATTCCCAAACCAAAAAGAAAATGCACGTAGCTTGCTGTTTTTCTCGGGTACTATTACCTCTCCAATGTGCCGTAGCGTGGAGGCAATTTTTAAATTTTGTGAAGGGGGAGTATGTTCATTAGGCTAACCTACGGCAAAAAAAAATGTTTGCTCATTGTATGAGGGATTGTATTTGCGACATGAGAAACTCCAAATAAGAAGGCTACTATGAGAATGTTGTAAAAGTAAAGAAGTTCTCAAAGATGGAAGGGAAGTGGTACGCTTTGCAATTCAGCTCATTCCGGATGCTATTCACTGCATTGTGCTTGGCCGAAATCCGAGACTGAAAATAATCCGTTGAATACCACTTATGCTCCAAAAGTAGTCGGATATTTTCCCTGTCTAGGAATGTTTGTAACAAATTTTACGATGTAAAAAACCCGAGTACAAAGTGCAAAGTTATCGAAGAATATTCTACAAATGTGTGATGTTGCAGCTGAATATTTATGAGTTGCGTTCACAAAAGATCGAAAAATATATGCTAAATAAAGATGCTGTTTCAGGGCTAATAAATCTGGGATCATTGAAAAAGATTTTCAAATACTCTAGCTTTTGTGGAAAAATTGACAAAATTATTTTTTGTCCCGTATTCGGCTGCCATAAATATCGTCACCGTACTTATACCCAAACAATTTAGGTTGTCAAATTAACTCGCACCGTTTTAGCAGTTGTTTTCCTAAACTGTAGCAGTGCTGGAAATTTCCAGTGGAATATTAGTTTAGGTACTAAAATTTAGATCAACTCGCACAAGGCCTTAAAATGTTTTCTGTAAATTCATCTCCCATTTACTCAACCAGTTTGCGATGAACGCTGATAATGCACAAGTCATTCGAGCAGTCTTCTTGCATTGTTGGTCCTAGCAAAGTTTTGGCCCGCCGAGGTGTGCTGAACGATCTTTCAATGGATGCAGTTTAGTCCGTAAAAGCTCGACAATATATCCAACCACGTATTCAAAATACATATTTGCGTGGAAAGCAATTTAAAAGTTTGTATTATCTATATACAAAACGCTGGCTAGTTTTCGTCACTGAATCTTATTTCCAATGATGTTATTAAGGAATCTAGGTATGGGATATAAAGAGAGCATTGAAAGTATTCTCTCAGTGATGCAGCTACGTGGTTTGCCTTATATTTTTGTCGATCAACTATACGCGGGAGACGTAATTCAATATTCAAGGATTCAGTCATATTCGTTGCTGATTCTAAAAAGAGTGATTGTCAACGTATTCCTTGTGTTCTTTTGTTATTGTTACGATTTGTCTTATATGCTGAAGACACTTAATTACATCAGGGTGTTCCAACTGAAGTACGTTGGCCACTGACTCAAGAATCTTGCTATATTTTTCAATTAGGCATAATGACAGTATGAATGTGGCCTGTCCAGTTGCAGAATGCAATTGGAAAGCCGTAAGATTGTTGAAATTATATCAACATGTCGATATTGACGATATTTTATGCACAAATATCGTCTGGCTACCAGAAAAAATAGTTGTATGCTTTAGCGTTTTATATTTATATGGTTAATTTTAAACATCAGTTCAACAAACTTTAATATATTTACTGTTACTCCCAAAATTGAGCGCACGCCTCTTTTCTGTTAATATTCGCAATGTTTCACATGCTAAAACTTTTTTGTTAATTTTGTTTTAAAGTATGGCTTATGTTTTAGCAAATCCTATTTAAATCCAATATTGTCGGCCGCTGTGGTGTAGTGGTAAGCAGTGCGCGCTTTCACTCATCAGCACCTGGGTTTAAGCCCTGGTCAAAGCAACATCGCAAAAATATTATTATTATTATATAAGGTTTTTTCTTAACAGCGGTCGTCCCTCGGCAGGCAATGGCAAACCTCCGAGTGTATTTCTGCCATGAAAAACAGCTTCTCATAAAAATACAATCGCCGTTCGGAGTAGGCGTAAAACTGTATGTCCCTCCGCTTTGTGTGAAAACATCAGAGTGCACACCACAAGTCGGAGGAGAAGCTCGGTCAAACACTAACATATGTGTAAGCGCCAATCTATTATTATTATTATTTAAATCCAAGAATGATACTGTGTACAAAAATTAAGAAAAATCTGCATAGTTTCAGCAAAATCGCGAAGTTTTTAATACGAATTTCAAATCTCTATTTTCAGTAACAGTATGTGAGTTAATCTGCGCAATCGCTTAATATACAATGACTCAAACAAATGACCTCGTGTTGATTTTCTTCAAATATTCGTAATGTTTTTCGAGAGAATGTTTTTTTGGAGGCTACTTTTTCGGGTTTTTTTTTTTTTTAATATAAAAAGCACAATTTACAAAAACTTGAGTTGATATTTTGAAATTTTGTTGCTGACGGTCTCCCGCGTTTTATGTCATAAGAAAAACATGCTTATATAAAAAAAAGTGCAAAAAACCGTCACCAAAAAAAAAACTCAAAAATCAACGCGATTTTTTAGCCGTTCGAAACTTACACTCCATCAGACTAAAATTGTATGGGCTATAAAACTGCATACCCTAAAAATTCAGAATAAAAAATTTTAATTTTGGTGAAAATTTGTTGAATTTTCCTAAATTGTGTATAAAATTTGAAAGTGTTCGCCTTGTTACTCACTGAACTGACCCAAAATATGTTAAAACTCATTCCACGGTAACCATTCAAAAATTCGCCAAATAGCGGTACAAAACACTTCCATGCACGTTTTTCTACAGAGCTTAGCTTGTTCAAAAACTCACTTCGCTCATAATTTTACGAATTTGAGGTCCTATGAAAATACCTAAAATTCATAAAAAGAAATAAAACCGATGAAAAAGTATTATATGGGAGAATAAAAAATTAATACCTTCTTTTATTTTAGCTTCACTTAATTTTGGGAACACCACTTTAAGATGGCAAAAATAAACATACAATTTTTTTACAATTAGGGGTATTCTCGGAGTCTTGCAAAGCCCTTGCACGGTGCATGGATTGCACGAAACAAACCGGTTTTCCTATGGGACAGCTTTGCAAACTGTGCAATCCGTGCACCGCGCAGGGGCTTTGCAAGATTGTGAGAATACCCCTCTAGTTTAATATAACCTAGGTTTAAATGCAGCGGTAGTAGGACAACATTTTGAGCTTTGGCCAATGGGACGTTTAAAACGTTTTTCCTGCCTATTTGATCTGGCTCTCGGAATGGCCATACTTTGCGATCATAGAAAACGTCAAAGTAAAACAAAAAACGGTCAAGCAAACATTTTTGAGTTGTATAGCCAAAAATAATATTTTTTCAAAAATTTTGTTTTCATAAAAACATAAATAACTCAGTAAACTTTCATCAGATTTTTTTAAAATAAACACTCATTTTACTCGCTACTAAATTTAGTTTTATAATCAGATTAGGGCTAGTATGGTTTTCTTATAAGATAGTGTGTAAAAACTTCACCAAAGTTGAAAAAAGGTGAACAAGTAAAAAAAAAGTGTTTGCTGGGTTAATACACACAGATCTCTTAAGGTTTCTTTATTCACAGAGATATCGTTCGAAAGGCCCAAGTTTCTTCGTTTTAAACCCGGCAATAAACCGAAACTACAGGATTATAAGTGCGCAAAAGTACGAAAACCCGTTTTTTTTAACGGTAAATCAAGATTTTGGGGGTGTTTGGCAAGTTTCATATTTTGATTCTTGTTTTACTCGAATAGACCTATCAGAAAATATACATAACTTCCCAGGTATTTTTTAGTGTTGTTATTATAATAAATTTGTATTACTGTTCGCTTCCATTACAGTCCAACGCGCAAATTTATTACCAAACAAATGTCGAATAAAACCAACACATTTTTTTTTTACTTTTGTATATGGTTTCATCGAGTTCACTATAAAGACTGAGGCATAAACGTTTGAAAGAAATATGTGTTGAATCAAATCGGTCTTTTGTTAATGCGGTTTCTCGTGGGTATAAACAAGTTATATGATTATGGACTTGGAAGTGAAAAAGACATGAACAAAGAATACATTTGATGAGGCGGCCTAGTTTTCGGAAGAGACTCTGCGAAAGATTTACGGGCCTTTACGCGTTGGCGATGGCGAATACGATGGTACGATGAGCTGTATGAGCTTTCCAACGATAGATAAAGACATAAGCTGAAATTAGTCAAGAACGCAGAACGTATACTTAAACGCAGTCTGTATACGCAGAATTTGTCGATAACTGGAGCCCTCAGTGTTGCTTACTACAGTGTTGCCATTCATCAATTCCTTTTCATAAATTTACCTTTTCAACTGCAATTTTTCGTGCTATAATAAATTGTAGCTAAATATAAACTACTTAGTTTTCAACAAAAAACCTTATTCAATAGTAAATTTCAAATATTTTAAATGTATTTTGAATAGGAACTTATAACTTTTTTACCATCTGCAAAACTGACGAAGTGGCAACCATCTATAGAAGGAAGAAATCAGCTGACACCGAAAAATCTAAATTCCGCAGATTTCTGCGCACGGGCTACAACTACAGAAAAATTCAGCTATATTGACTTTTCATTTACATGGTTACAGCGCCAATGATTAAAAAGTAAATGTAAAAGTTCTTGAGTCTAGGGGTGGGCAGCTGCTCCACTTGCACTACACAAACCCCCCCTGTATACGCCCATGTTTGTACCTTAGGGTGGTCCTTAAAAATTAAAATGAGCAATTTTTTCATTCTCACCCTTTCAATCGGTAATTCCACGGTCACAGTTATCACATACAAATTTTGGTCCCGTTTGGTTAAGGCGTGTCGCACAGGGGCCAAAGTTCAGTTTCCTCTATAGAAACTCCAAAAATTAAAATTAATTTTTTTGCCAACCGATTGGAGTCGGTTAAGGCGTATCACAATGGGGTCGATGCTCCATCGAGACTCAAAAAATTAAATAAATGTTTTTCATTTAATACCCAAAATCGATACTACTAAGGCCGAAGATATCACATAAAAATTTTGGTTCCGATTAGAGTCGGTTAAGACCTGTTCATAGAGTAATCGGAATTTTGACCCCTGTGAGTCACGCCTTAACCGACTCCAATCGGGGCCAAAATTTGTATGTGATATTTTCGACTATATTAGTGTCGATTTTGGGTATTAGATGAAAAAAATAAGTTTAATTTTTTGAGTCTCTATAGAGGAATCTGAGCTTTGCCCCCTGTGCGACACGCCTTAACCGTCCCCAATCGGGACCCAAATTTATATGTGGTATCTTCGACTATTTTTTTTATTCGCCACTCGACTCACACACCTGCTCTCTGAGAGCACTCTTCAACAATCCGACGTACGCGAGCAGTGGAACCACATTTCCCGATCATTAAGTACCGCCGCCGAAGAAGTAGTTGGATTTCAGCGAGCCCGAAAGAACAACTGGTACGATGAGGAATGTCAAGAAGCCGCAGAGAAAAAAGATGCCGCCTACAGGGCCACGCTGCGATCGGGCGCAACGCGAGCCATGTGGGACCGTTATAGGGAACTGAAGAAGGAAGCTAGACGTATTTGCCGCAATAAGAAGAGAGAGGCCGAAATACGTGAGTGCGAAGAGCTTGAGATGCTGGCCGACAGGAAGAACGCCCGAAAATTCTACCAGAGGGTTAGGCGACTTACGGAAGGTTTCAAGACCGGGGCGAACTCCTGTAAGAACAACAATGGCGACCTAGTGACCGATGTCCAGAATATACTTAAATTGTGGAGGGAACACTTTTATAACCTACTGAATGGTAGCAGCGCTGAAAGTAGTGAGGAAGACGAACCCGAGTCCCCAGTCGATGATGATGGAGTAGCTGTCCCACCGCCTGACTATGACGAGGTACGAATAGCGATTACGCGGCTGAAAAACAACAAAGCTGCTGGAGCTGACTGCCTGCCAGCAGAGCTATTCAAGTACGGCGGCGAGGAGCTGATGAGGTGCATGCATCAGCTCGTATGCAGAATATGGTAAGATGAACGCATGCCCGACGACTGGAATTTAAGTGTGCTCTGCCCAATCCACAAGAAAGGCGACCCCGCCATACGCGCCAACTACCGCGGAATTAGCCTTCTAAGCATAGGTTACAAGGTCTTATCGAGCGTATTGTGCGAAAGACTGAAGCCCACCGTCAACGAGCTGATTGGACCTTATCAGTGTGGCTTTAGGCCTGGAAAATCCACCATAGATCAGGTATTCACAATACGCCAAATCTTGGAAAAGACCCGCGAGAATAGGATCGACACACACCATCTATTTGTCGATTTCAAAGCCGCTTTCGACAGCACGAAGAGAAGTTGCCTTTATGCCGCGATGTCTGAATTTGGTATCCCCGCGAAACTAATACGGCTGTGTAAAATGACGTTGAGCAATACCACCAGCTCCGTCAGAATAGGGAAGGACCTCTCCGAGCCGTTTGATACCAAACGAGGTTTCAGACAAGGGGACCCCCTTTCGTGTGATTTCTTTAATCTTATGTTGGAGAAGATAATAAGAGCCGCAGAACAAACCGCTCAGGCACAATACTTTATAAGAGCGTACAATTGCTGGCGTATGCCGACGACATCGATATTATCGGTAAAAACAAGGGCTACGTCTGTTCTGCCTTCTCGGGATTGGATAGAGAAGCAAAGCGAATGGGTCTGGTGGTGAACGAGGACAAAACGAAGTATCTCCTGTCAGCACACAAACAGTCAGAGCATACGCGTCTTGGCACCCACGTCACTGTTGACAGTTACAAGTTTGAAAAAGTAGACGACTTCGTTTATTTGGGAACCAGCATTAACACCAATAATAATGTCAGCCTTGAAATCCAACGGAGAATCACTCTTGCCAACAAGTGCTACTTTGGGCTGAGTAGGCAATTGAGAAGTAAAGTCCTCTCTCGTCGTACAAAGATCACACTCTATAAGTCACTCATCATGCCTGTGCTGGTGTATGGCGCGGAAGCATGGACAATGAAAGCATCTGATGAGGCGGCTCTTGGAGTTTTCGAGAGAAAGATTCTGCGAAAGATTTACGGACCTTTACGCGTTGGTGATGGCGAATATCGCAGACGATTTAACGATGAGCTGTATGAGCTTTACAACGATATAGACATAGTGCAGCGAATTAAAATTCAGCGGCTCCGCTGGCTTGGCCATGTCGTTCGGATGGACAGAAACGCTCCTGCTCTGAAAATATTCAACGCGGGCCGCGATGCTGGGAACAGAGGAAGAGGAAGGCCTCCTCTGCGTTGGAAAGACCAGGTGGAGAAGGACTTGGCTTCACTTGGCATTTTCAATTGGCGTCAGTTAGCACAGAAGAGATATGACTGGCGTGCTGTTTTGGACTCGGCCAAAATCGCTTAGGCGGTTACAGCGCCAAATAAGAAGAAGAAGATCTTCGACTATAGTAGCATCGACGTAGGGGTTGAGGCTTAGGAAACCTGATGTAAAAATTTGCTTCCTACATTTAAGTACCACCCTAGGTACGTTGCTAAAAAAAACTTACTTTGTAATGCGATCTAATATTGTAGTTTCAGCTGGCACTGGAATAGGTTTACGGCTTTTATCAAAATGTATCACAAAATCGATCTAAAAAGCAATAAGGAATAGCAAATTTCTCATTTGACATTCAAAAGGAGAAATACTTACTTGATATCCGTAAGGTGTTATATGATTGCAGCTGAAGAAGCTTTCGTCGCTTAAAACCGCGGCTAGGAGCTTTTTTACATCGTCACCAAATTTTCCTTGAGTTTTAGTCTCTAAACCGTAGAAGAGAAAATGGTAAAAAAATAAAGTTTTTTATTAAAATATATTTTTTGCAATCCTAAAAAGCTTATGGCATTTTCGTTTCTACAAAAAATGTTGCCTTCTCATCGCCCTCTTCTTAGTGTTTGTGCGTAGAAGGCAAAGAGAAGGTTGTATTTTTCGGTAGAAACTAAATCGGCAATAATTTTAGGTTCTGCTTCTCAGCAGAATAAACTCAACATGATTTTCAAAATTAACTATTTGGTGCATCTGCTAGATTGTACATAAATTGTTTTTGTAAAAAGAAAAACAAAGAACACCAAACCAACCATTTTTACCCTTTTTAAAAGAATGAGAAAAAATTACAATAAGCATGCACCATATAGGTTCAGAGCAAAGCACTTTAGATAGGCAATAGCACCAGAGCAAAATAAAACGCTGCATGTATTTTGTTGTTGATTTTTCACTCTAAAATGACAGAATAGGTAAACAAAAGCTGTAATTTTAGAGTAAAATGTGAACAAAAATTAAAATTCGGTCTTCAATATGCCTAGGTCAATTCAAAAATCTTGATATGTTTCAAAAAGACTTTTGACAAATTTTAGGGCCGTTTTCTCATGTGAGCAGTAAAGCAGGGCATGAATCACGTATTACGACAATCGTCTGGACGATATCGTGTTGAGATGATGAGATGAAAAACAAAAATTGTTTGATAGTTTGTGCGATATCGTCAACTCGATTCCAATTTTGCTTCACACAACAAGTAGCAGCAACACAAATATATGAATCAGTGTTTTGACGACATCGTTTTGTCAGTATCGTTTCAAAGTTACGTGATTCATGCCCAGGGCAGATAAATTGCTCCTCGCTTTGAAGCGCATTACAAGCATTCTCATTTTCTCATCTAACCAGTAAAAATAAATTTCTTATTGCGAAATTACGACAACGCCAAAGTGAAACTGAATGCAACATAAGCAAAGAAAGAGCAAATGCAGCTGTTAGCCAAAAGCAAAACCTTGGATCAAATATCTAATATATCTGAATATCGAAAACCGAATCAAAAAATTGTGCTGGCAAGGTTTAAAGTTGAAAGTTAAAAGACATTTTTAAAAGCTACATCAGGTGAGGAACAATTTATCGATTCGACAAATTAATACGCTGATGAGAAAACGAAAGTTCGAAAATCAAGACGATAATGTGGCCGGTAATCTAAGGGTTAGATGAGAAAACGGTTCTTAGAAATCAATTGTTATATATCTCAACTTGTAAACAAAAATTACAATTTTTTTAAAAGTCAGGGTGAAATGCAAAAATCGTATGATAGAGAAAAGGGTGAAATCAAAATCTTATAAGCAATTTGAAAGGATATGAAATGGAAAGTGAAATATCCATAATGATGGTGTCACGATGGAATTTCGAATTTAGGTGTAATTTTTCCTATCTTCTTCTTCTTGACTGGCGTTTTAACCATATAAGCCATTTTCGTCGAGTCCAACAAAGACCGCCACGCATTTCTCTTCTGTGCCATCTGACGCCAATTGGAAATGCCAAGTGAAGCCAAGTCCTTCTCCAGGAGCTCTTTCAGAGCTAGAGCGTTCCTGTCCATTCATACGACATGACTAAGCCAGCGTAGTCGCTGTATTTTAATTCAAGGCTGACAGTACTGTTGTTAATGCTGATTCTTAAATAAATAAAGTCGTTTACTTTTTCAAACTTGTAACTGTCAACAGTGGCGTGGGTGCTGAGACGCTTATGCTCTGACTGTTGGTGTAATGTCCTCGTTGACCACCAGATGGCTCGGAGAGGTCCTTCCCAATTCTGACGGAGATGGCGGTATTACGCAACGTCATTTTGCACAGCCGTATTAGTTTCGCGGGGATCCCAAATTCAGACCTCGCGGCATAAAGACAACTTCTTTTCGTGCTGTCCAAGCGAGTCTTTTTACAAGATTTGGCATATTGTGAAGACGTGGTATATGGTGGATTTGTCAGGTCTAAAGCCACACGGATAACACCCAATCAGTTTGTTGTCGGTGGACTTCAGTCTTTCACACAATAAGACCTTGTAACCTATAAGGCTGATCCCGCGGTAGTGGGCGGACATGGCGGAGTCGCCTTTATTTATAAGAGTTGATGCATGTGCTTTATTATCCAGGGACCGAAAATAATCGTTATCATGAAGGATTTTTATTTAAAAATCATTGTATAATCGTTATTTTTCGATTTATATAATTACGATTATTTTTAATCGTTATTTTATGATTTTTATTTTTTCAATCAAAAATAATGCCTATTTTTTAATTTTTATTTTTTCAATAATTTTTAATTGTCTTATGATTTTTATTTTTTTCCGATCAAAAATAATCATTATTCTTCGATTTTTATATTTTCGATCAATTTTAGGCGTTTTATGATCTTTATTTTTTCGATCATATTTTCAGTGTTAATCTTGTCTGATCGTAGAAAACCAAAAAAACTTGTAGTGTTGACAATTAAAGCAACAAACGTAGACTTGAGATAACCTCAGGAACCACAAAAAAGTTCAGCTGGAAAATTAAAGTAAAATTCTTTGATTCATTGCAGGTGATTGCCTTATTGATACCATTGATGGGCAAAATTTTATTTACTAAAAATTAAGTGCTATGTATTAAGGTATTTATGTTGTATTTAGTAAATATGTACCAAAGTACTATTTACTTAAGTATTTTGGATGTAACTAAATTCCGAGTAGGCTAGTTAATATTTACTTATTTTCACAGCGCTAAATACTTAATCTAAAATTATTTAGTTAGTTTCTCCAAATGCAACACCACGTACAAAAATACATTGAGACTTTGGCTTCGCTAACTACCGCGTACAAAAATATTTCGGTATTCTCGGGACTACTTCGGTATTTTTGAGACTATTTCTGGATATTCGATATCTTAGGGACTATTTAGGTTTTTTCGAGACTAAATATATTGATAAATGTGTACATATATCCATAAAAATATCGATTAGTATATCGATAACAATATTGATAAATATAACAATAAAAATATCGACTGGTATATCGATAAATTTTTCGATAAAAATATCGATTATTATATCGATAAATACATCGATAACAATATGGATAATCATACGGATTATAGCATCGATAACAATATCGATAAATATAACAATTGCAAAATCATTAAATTTGACGATAAACATATCGATATCAAGATCGACAAATATAACAAAAATTTCGAAATAGTCCCGAAAATCATGAAATAGTCCCAGGAACCCCGAAATAGTCTCGAAAATCTCGAAATTGTCTCGATTCAATTTCTCCTAAATCATTAAGTATTTAGTATGTAAGTATTTAGCCATCTACCTTAGTACTTTAGTACCCGAGTACTTTGGACTAGAGTATTTAGCGCCTTTACTTTAGCATCTAACAGCTTCTAAAATGGCAAATTATTTTTTACCTTAGTATTTACCAACTCCTAAATACCTATTATTTTTTTACCTATATTTTTTTTTTTTTAGTATTTAGAGTAGAACAACTCAACGGACAGCAAGACGGCCTTGTCAGCTCACTGCAGGGATACGGGACACTATCCTGATTTTGATAATGTTACCACTCTTCAAGAAGAAAAGAATTATAATAAACGCTTTATTTTGGAAATGTTGCACATAATGGACACCCCTGATGACAAGAGGATCAACTATAAAACGGACACAGATACAGTGACGAGCAAAACTGTAACATGGTGTGACACTTTTTATTTCAGCCACCGCTATCTTTCCAAGTTCTAACGACATTCATACTTTTGTTGTATATTCTTATTGGTACACCTGTACTTCATCTCTCATAACCAATTGAAGTCAATCCAACAACAATAATAAAACCAGCAGACAAAAATGTAAATTAAGGCATATGTTACAGTTTTGCACTTATATATTTTTAATAACTTTTTGACAATTTTCTCGAAAAAAAAGAATTGTTAACACAATGTTCAGCATACTTTTGCTTTTTTTAGTTCCTGGATGCAATTTGGCATACCTTATTTGTATCTCTGTAAAAATTCAGGAGGTATAGCCTCCCATATATCCTTGGTTTGCTTTCATAGCTCATGTACTCCATTGGACGGACTTGGATACTTAGTAAGCTGCGCTTTTAGTTGATTTCGCAAATTTTCTACGAGTCTCATATCCGCGGATTGTGGAGGTCATTTCAGAATAGCAAATTGCTTTTGCATCCAGTCTTTGCGAACATATGCAGTATGTTTTGGGTGATTTTTCAGCAGAAACTCTCATTTTTCGACTACATCTTGTAAATTTTGTTGAAATATGAACAGATACTGTTCCTTACGCATAATGCGTACTAACGGACCAACAATATTTTTGAAATACAACCCCAAACTATTACTGACCGACCACTGTGATTCACAGTTTGCCCTACATGATGCACTTAGGTTTAATTTGGGTCTTTGATCCAATACCATGCCCGGCCATCTGATTGAAAGCGACTAATTTAGTCTTGTCAGACCAACTAACCTTCAATTAAATCTTAAAAATTTGTTTTTCTTTATTGCATTCTGTAAGGCCTAAAATATCCCAATAGGCAACGGTCCGGTTTTCGTGCGATCCGGCAAAATGCTACCACTCTCGCACATGTATTTTGATCAAAATGGGGTTTTCTTCTGTTATTATGCCTTTGCAGTTAATTTGACAATTCTTCGCCTCACTGTCTACTGATTTGCATTCAATTTTAATACTTTAAGCGCTTCTGTAATAGTGGCTTCAGCGCTACTTGCTACTAAGTTCACAAGATATCGGACCGTAATATTTTTTGGCTGACTTCCTTTGTCCTTAATAACATTTTAAGCTATATTTTTTCTCAGTCTTAACATTTTCATGTGCCGAACTCCACAATTTTTCGCCACTTTTCCTACGGTCCCGCGTTTCCGCAGCATTTATGTTTCCTGATTAACCATATTATTTACTGGTAATCACTTCTTGAATAAATTATAATACAGAAAAAAGTC